TCCCATATGAGGAGAGGTTAAAGCGACTGGGACTTTTCAGTTTAGGAAAAAGGAGACTGAGGGGGGATATGATAGAGGTCTATAAAATCATGAGTGGTGTGGAGAGGGCCGATAAAGAAAAGTTATTTATTAGTTCCCTAAGTAGAAGAACTAGAGTTCACCAAATGAAATTAATGGGTAGCAGGTTTAAAACGAATAAAAGAAAGTTCTTCTTCATACAGCATGTAGTCAACCTGTGGAACTCCTTGCCAGAGGAGGCAGTGAAGGCTAGGACTATAATAGAGTTTAAAGAGAAGCTAGATAATTTCATGGAGGTTAGGTCCATAAAAGGCTATTAGCCAGGGGATAAAATGGTGTCCTTGGCCTCTGTTTGTCAGAGGCTGGGGGGGGGGGGGAGCAAATCGCTTGATCATTGTCTTTGGCGCACCCTCTCTGAGGCACCTGGTGCTGGCCACTGTCGGTAGACAGGATACTGGGCTAGAAGGACCCTTGGTCTGACCCAGTACGGCCGTTCTTATGTTCTTATGTTCATGTTTTTGTGCAAAAACCTCTTGCGCAAAACTGGATCAGAATAGATTATGCAAATGAAGCACGAGAAAATGCTAATCAGCACTTCATTTGCTTTTCCTCTTTCAACAAAACACATAATATAGACATAGCCGAAGAATAGTTTTCAATTGTTCACAGTCGTGCTGGAGGGGAATAACAAATGGCGTTCTGCAGGTACCATTTCTGAGTCCAGTTCTGTTTAATATCTTCATCAACTATTTAGCTAATGGCAGAGAGAGTGCATATATACAGTCTGCAGACAACACCAAACTGGGAGGGGTTGAAAATGCTTTGGAGGACAGGATTAAAATTCAAAATGACCTGGACAAACCGGAAAACTGGATTGAGACCAACAGTATGAATTCAGTAAGGACAAATGCAAAGTACTCCAGTTGGGAAGGAACAATCAGTTACACATGTACAACATGGGAAATGAGTGCCTAGGAGAGTACCATGGAACGGGCACTGGGGCATCATATTGGACCACAAGCTAAATATGAGTCAGTAGTGTTATACTGTTGCAAAAAAAGAAAAAAAGAAAAAAAAAAGAAACATCATTCTGGGGTGTATTAGAAGGAGTGTTGTAATCAGGGATGAACTACATGGTGTTCGGTGCTGAGCTGAGTGCAGGGGACTGGACTTAATGACCTCTCAAGGTCCGTTTCTGTCCTATCATTCTATGTTTGGCCTCTCAGTTATCCCCAACTGAAGTGAATGGGGTAGATCATGTGCCAGAGCTCATTTGCAAACTCTGCATCAATTATTCTTGGGTCAGGAAAAACAATAACGGCTAGAGTACTTGTTTTAAAAATGAAAACAGAGACCAAGTCTGCCTGCAACCATCTGGCAAGTCCTTTTCATCTGTCCCATGCTTTGGAAAGTGCTCTGTTACAGTAATAAACAGCCTATTAGTAACTAGTCAACTCTGTTTCATTTGTACTAGGAGATCGTTTTCTACAACCCTTTGGGGAAACTGTGCTCCATTTCTAAACATCCTCTTCAAATATCTTTTCCCAAACAAAATTGCATTTGTGTTTGGCTAAGTGAGCAGTGAAAGCAATGTGGTATAAAAGTAATAGTAAATAAGCTCTACATTTATTATAACCCATTAAGCAAGGTCTTTTATTCCGTATCCGTGTGGGTTTTTTTCCTACAGGATGAGCAAATGTTCTGGGTAAAGCTGTAAAATACAAACACAGATAAAGCAAATAGGACAGAATTATCTCTGTGAGCTAGATTAGTTGGCAATTTCAGTCCCTCATACATGATATATGGTCACATCTTTTCTCATGCGTCTCTACACACATAATGCCTTCTCCTAGACATCATAGTTCAGGGACTGCAGCTAAAGAAGATTAGAGTTTTGCCAATCTTTTGTTGGGAGCTGCAAAAGGTTAGAGGGAGACTGCTCTCCATATAAACTTGTCAGCTCGGAGGCAATTCCGGTGTTTTTAACCCAGGGCACGTTAGCTTTACATTGCAAGTGTGTGATTCCTCGGACCTTGCACTCATCGGAATGTGAAAGAATTGCCAGATTTCTAGCGGGAATGTTCCTATGGGAATCAAAACAATGTTTAATCAGAAAGTGTACCCTCTACTGGCATTTTCACTCATTTAAAAGTAAGTCATAAAGCACACTTAAGCAATCTTGTGCAAGTCTACCTTGAAAATGTAACTCAGATTTAGGAATAATAGCTATTTTGACACATTTATGTTATGGTTTTGTTTCATTCACTTCTTCTCCCCTCTCACCACTCTGGTTCCTATTCGTTAGCCTATCCCCAGTTTCATCTGACCACAATTATTTGTTGCCCCCTCTACATTGTGTCAGGGTATTTGGGCACTTGACCCAACAAGGTACTTAAGAAAGCCATTGGGTGACAAGTGACCTCAAATGGCATTGATTTGGGGGATCAGCTGAGCAAGCAAGCATGTTCTATGGAAGCAAAAATCCTCAGTTAGTTCATTAGTTCATTATATTTCCTTGTGGACAGCTGAGGAGTCAGAGACACAGAGAGGTTATTTCCAAAAGTCTGGATCTGCAGAGGAGAAGAAGGGTGATGTTAACAAGGCTGAGGCTGCGCAACTGGGAAGAGGAAAGGAAGTCTATCATCGAGAGCAATTCTGCAGTGGCCTTGTTGACTCATTCCATCTCTGACCTCTATGGTTCTATAATAGATGAGCAAATGGACCAAAAAGAGTAGAAAGTAAGACCATATCTTCACTTGCTGCACTGAAGATTGATCTTCTGGTATTGGATTTAGTGGGTCTAGCTAAGACCATCTAAATCAAATGCTGAGAGCAGCTTTACTTGGCACCAGTACTTGCAGTAGTGAGGAGTAAGGGAAGCCGACATAAATGTTTGCTCCCATTGGCCTCCCTCTGCATAGATGGCACCAAACTTTGCTTAAGATAAACTACGTAAAATATGTACTTTACGTAACTGGAGTTGTGTACCTTAACCTGACCTTGCAGGTCTAGTGTAGACCTGGACTTAGAGAAGCAGATGTGGTCCATGATGTAAACAAGAGAAAAGACCCAGGGATCCAGGGGCGGCCCATGAGCATAGGCAGACTCGGTGGTTGCCTAGGGCGCCGCCAGCCCGGGGAGCCTGATTATGACATCACGGGGCGCCCCGGCACCCGATGATTACGTCATGGCCATTGACAGCCGGGCAGGTGGGGGCGCCAATTGCACTTTCTGCCTGGGGCACCAGCTGCCACAGCTGGCCTCAGGCCGCTCCTGCAGGGATCCATTCTCCTTTGACTTGCTCTGTCTTCATGGGAATTACTCCTGGCTTACCCAAGGGTAAATAAGAGGAGAATCAGGCCCTTTCACAGCAGTTCTGAATGGGCTCTTGAAACCAAAGGGGAGAACTGAGGATGCATCTCCATATGCGGTACAGAGGAGGGAACTGCAACTGTCCAGCTGAATGATGGGCCAACTACGCATGGCAGGAAATCCCAACTAGAACAGTAAATATGGATCCTAGCAGAAATGGGCACCATCCTTCCAGAGTGGTGGGACTTTCACGTTAAGCAAGATAGGCCAGACATGCAGCTGATGTAAATCAGTATAGCGCCATTCTGTTTCTGCAGTAATACAACTGTATTAATTTTGTATCCAGGGACATCCTTAGGATTTACGGGCCCCTACACAGTACTATTAGATGGTGCCCTTATTCCCATTGGCAGCGTGGGAGGAGCAAGATTTAGAGATGTGATTTTAGGGATAGCAACATACTAATGAAATATTTTTAAAAAGCTAATTTTAAATGAAGAACCTGTAGACTAACATAGTAAATTCAGAAACAGACAGGATATCCCAGGGGTTGGCAAATATCTCTTAAATGGCTTCAGAACCACTAAACGGCTCTTTCACCAGTTCCACGTTCTGCTAATCGAGCAGCAGGCTATTTCACTTTTAAGTTAATTAGATCCTCTCTGAAGAAACCAGAGCCACAGACCAGGGAGAGGAAGAAGTGGGTGGATGAGCATTAAAACCCAGCGGTGCCCCATGTTTTTGGGTGCCCTATACAGCAGCATATTCTGTGTATGGCTAAGGATGGTTCTTTCTCTATTGGATAATGTATTTTGAATCTTTCCTATGGGACTCTGCAGTAATAAATACACCACACACATTACTTTGGGTATTTTTAATGTCGTCTCCTGCCTGCTTAGCTCGACGTTCCCCATTGCCAAGGCTTACCAGTGGTGCCTCGGTTGCTCTGTTTATTTCCAGAAATATATAAAGGAAACGGTGACATCTTCTTGCAATAACTAATGCCAAATATCAATGGAACGTGTGTGAGTGTCTCTAAAAGTATTTCAAGGCTGCCAGAAAATTGGATATACACCCTGGTTCACAAGCCCTTGAAAAAAAATTGCTGATAATTCAAGGCACCAGAAATGATAAAGGAATTCATTCCTTCTCTGCTTTCAAAACTTCCCCCCACCCGCCCTCTCCAAAAGGAGTGCCTAATGGATTCGCCTGCAATTTGGTAAATAACACACCGCCACGCTCTTCTGTCTGCCTCTCTCTTTGCTGCCAGGTTATTCAGTTCATCTCGTCTCTGCCCTGCCTTTTAGATTTCCTCACAAACAAGGCAGCAAACCTGGCAGCTGCTAGTTAACATTGTGTAATAAGATTCTGATTGCTTTCCGGGAGGAAGGGGGGAGTGCGAGAGACAAGTATATTATACCTTTGAGTGAAAGCAAAAGAGCCATCTCATGGTCTCCTTTAAATGTACTTATCTCTTAAGACAGAAATACCACGGAGCATATAAGTAAATAATGAGACTTTCATGTTCGCTGTGACAGCTGATTATAGGAAGAAAGGAAATCCAGAGAAACAGAGCAGACGCCTTGTCTGACCAACATCGATACTGAAGCAGGAGCTATTCTACAATAGCTATTCAGGAGTAACTCCCCAGGTGCAAACTCTAGTCCAGAAAAAAAAAGTGACTTCATTCCACAACGGTTACTGCACTTGGTGAGTGGAGAGATTATTCTGGAATAAAATCACGCTTAGGTCTCATCCTGGTTTCACAGTTAGACTGACTTTAACCTTGAATGCTTGGGGTTTAACGTCTCTTCCAAAATTGTTGGCATTCGTTTCCTAACTATGGCTACTCTCTTGGCTCTGCCGATTCCGACTGAGGATTTGTGTTGGCTCTGGTCATTTTTTAACCTAACCAGTGTCTCGCTAGACGATGTTCTTCTTAATCTTTTTGGAAGAAGCATAAGGTAAAAATGCTGCTTCTGCCTCCCGCTACATCTGGTGACAGGATTCTGTGACTCTCCTTTAGTTTCCGTGGTGGAATTATTATTTCCAATTAAAAGAGCCTATCTCAGACCCCTAGACCTGGTCTTCACTGAAGGGGAAAGTTGACTTCAGATATGCAACTCTGTATGAGCCTGTGTCTACACTGTGCGATCTTATGCAAAAGCAGCCGCTCTTGCGCAAAAACTTGCTGCCTATCTACACTGGCCACGTGTTCTTGTGCAAGTAAACTGACGTTCTAATATATGAAATCAGGGCTTCTTGCACCAGAACTCAGATGCTCCCTCTCAGAAATAAGCCCTTTTGCCCAACTGTTCTTGCGCAAGAGGCCATTGTAGACAGGCAACATGAATTTTTTTGCTCAAGAGAGCCCTATGGTTAAAATGGCCGTCAGAGTTTTCTTGTGCAAGAGAGCATCTACACTGGCATAGATGCTCTTGCGCAAAAGCACATTTCGCACAAATGCACATGCCAATGTAGACGCTCTCTTCTGGAAGAGTTTTTGCGCAAGAACTCTTCCGCAAAAGAGCTCTTGCGCAAGAAGCTGCCAGTGTAGACGTAGCCATGGGGTGCATCTACACAGCAGGGCTTAAGTTGAAATAAGCAAAGCAAATTGAGCTATGTCAATTGTAGAGCTTATTTTGAAATAGCTTATTTCAAAATTGGGAGCATCTACACAGCACTTATTTTGAAATAGAGCACTCTTCCTCTGTTTTCCCTTACTCCTCGTACCATGAGGGTAACAGGAATCGGAGTAAAAAGCCCTCCAGCTCAACAGTCTTCTGATATTATTTTGAAATAACTGCCTGCTGTGTAGTTGTGGACTAAGTTATTTCGAAATAACACTACTTATTTCAAAATAATGATGCTGTGTAGACGTCCCCCTAGTGTGAGTCACTGCGCCATGTAGCGGCACTTAGACCACTTACAGCGAGAGATAGGAACAAAGGAACTCTACCGCCTAAGCTGAGAGTCATCTGGCTTTATAGATCAAGCTGTAGAAGTTCCTACACTAAGTTCCAAACGTCCCAGGTTCAAATTTGCCTGGTGGACAGATACTGGAGTTGACTTATCTTAAACTGTGTTTTGGCATCGTCCACACAGCAGGAGCTTGGCAGAAGCATGCCCTCCTGTCGACTTCCCTTACTCCTCATGAGAAGAAGGAATACCGGTACCAACAGGGGCACCCTCTCGGTTTGAATTAGCGAGTCTTCACTAGATCCTCTCCTTCAAAACCCGGAAGATTGACTGCGGCAGCATCTATCTTCTCCGTAGTGTAGACAAGCCCTCTAGAGAGAGTCGGTTCTTCAGAATAGTTAACTTCATGGAAGGGTCTGACTTGAGACATTAATAGAGACCAGTGGAGGGGTAGCCGGGAGGAGACCCGTTAAAGAGAATGAATATAGAAGGCAATAATCCATGCAGCCTGCCTGTTTTGGATTCTACTCCCAGCTCACTGATGCATTGGGTGGGGGAGGAGGGAAACAGGACAGGTTGGACCTCTGTTGTCCAGCATCCTCAGGGCCTGACCCATCCCGAGTGAGGGAATTTGCCAGATAATGAGAGGTCCCCTGCCACTGGCCTACCAGGATGCTCCTGCTCCCTGCAGTTCACTCCGCTCCAACCCCACTGCCCTTGGCTCCAGCCTGCAGTACTTGCTGGTAGTCCCCAAAACAGAGTTCCTCAGCCACGTGGCCCCGCTTCTCCCTCACCCTACTGAGGATCCTCGTCTGGGACAGGGATCACTTATCCCACGGCTGCCCTTCCGGCCAGGGTTCCCCAAGGATAGGGGTCTCACTCCCGGGAGCCAAGGCTCTCCAGCAGGACCACGGATGTTGCCGGACCAGAGAATCCTGGATTTCAGAGGTTCAACCTGTAGAGGCTTACGGCCAGATTCTGAATTTCATTCCACTAACCTCAAGCCAGCCAAAGCCCATGAATTAAAATGCTGTACTTCTAGAAGAGAGTGGTGTATGAGACAGGACACTGGACTACAAGACAGCATTGGGTGCCATTCCTGACTCTTTCAATAGGACCCTGGCCACACCACTGCACCTCTATGCGTGTCTGTTTCCCCCCCATTTCCACTTACATCTTAAGCTCGTCGCATGCATTTTTGTCCCACGTCTGTCACAGGGATGTCCATGCCCAGTCCAAGCCCCCGTGTATTGGCAAGATAAGTAATAGTGGGTGTGAGCAAACAAAGAACCACTCCCCGAAAGCCTAACACCTCACTACAGCTTGTCTCGGCAATTTAGGAAACCTCGGCTCTGTAGTACACTGAGCTGTTGCGAATGTGCCCAGCTGTGCAGGTTGATAGGCTACCAAGCTAACACCGCCGCTAATGAAAAACAGCTGCTCATTAGTCAGGCGAAAACTGGGTAGACTGTTTAGAGACGCAATTATTTTTACTGTTCTTGTCCCCTTCACCATTATAAGCAAATTATCTTCTCCAATCGTGTTAGACCGAGTCTCAGGTTGCACATTTTTAAAATGAATATGGTTCATTAACAGCATGATGAATATTTCAGCGTGATTATGGAACATAATGAACTATTTTTAATTTTTTTTTTTTACAGAAAAAGCCCTAGAAACATGTTAATATTTCACCGGTTAATGCCGCAATTAAGCGTGCTGCATCTTTTCCCCGGCTTTACAACGTCTCTCTTATTGTTGACTTCAGATTTAACTCAGATGTTGAAGCAGGTGACGAGCTGTGAGTTCTTTCCCTGGGCCGCTTGGACATTAGTTAATTCCTGAAGTATAATATCAGAGTGGAGGAGAAAGCCTCCAAGAAGAAAGGGAGATGTTGAAGCAATGCTGCATATTTCAAAGATAAAATGAAGTTAAGACCCCGTCCTTTATATGACTGACTCTCATAATATTAATGGGAGACTTGGTGTTTTTTCTCAAAGTCCCAGGTGCGGGAATCTCAAAATTGCATGGGAATTTCAGCTTTCCTAAAATAAAACTTTTCTAGGCTAATGATTGAGGAACATGGTTAAAAATATGAAGCAAGTGCCACTTAAAGGCTCAAAACCCAGAAAGCAACGCCAAACACCCCAAAGTATGTGAGTCGTATATATACATATAAATCTTCTGATTTTTTACAGATTCGGCCCCTTGCCACAGTATCCATTCCATTGTATGTCACATCCCTCACCAGCTTGCTTATAAAAGTAAGGGTTCATGATTTCATAGCCATATCTACGACTTTGCTGTCTCAGTTAAAAATCACTCAATGAGAGCTTTGCACCAGCTGTCTCTGTTATCCTCCAGTGAGATTGCAGATAAATGGAGACTGGGGAGCTAATGCTTCGGCTAGTGAAAGATCAGCTAATTGTATAGCTATCATGCCAGTGTAGGGCTGTAAGGCACTTGGGAGATGTTCTAGCTCAGCCCCCTGCTGGGCCAAGTAAACTTTTCTTGGACGCCTCTTCCGGAGCTTGGCTAGCCTCAGAGTTACGAAGCATTTCCTAATATTTAACGCATCTCTCCCTTGCTGCTCACTAACCTCTTGTTTCTTGTGCTACTTTCAGTGGACATGGGGAACAACTGATCACCATCATCTTTCAAACAGCCCTTCACAGATTTAAAAACAGTTCTCAGGTTTCCCCCTCAGTCTTCTTTCCTTTCGCTTTTCTCGTAGGCCCGGTTTTCTAAACCACTTGTCGGGTTTGTCGATCTCCTCTCCAGTGTGTCTATGTCATTCCTACCATGTGGCTCCCAGATAAGGGGACCAGACGGATTGCCTGGTCCCTGGGCAATGTGGAAGGGGTGGCTTTATGCCTCCGGCAGGGGTGGGGCCTGAGGTGGAAGGGGTGGGGCCTTGGATGGAAGGGGCGGGACCAGAACAGACAGACATAAGTGCTGCCTGGACCACACGGCACCCCCTCCCCTTGGCCCTGAGAGCCAGCTGGAGCACATGGCATGGGGCTCTGGAATGTGCCACCTAGTGCTCTGGTAGTGATTCTAAGGCGCTCTCCTTTGTCCCTGCCCTGTCAGTGGGCCTTCCCCCAGAACTGGACACAACATGCCATCTGAGCCCTTGTCAGTGATGAGTACAGCGGTACAGTTATCTCCCCTGTCTCGCATATACCTTTGCTGTTAATACAGCACGAACTTATAGTTGCCTTTTTTGCTCCTAACTTGCTGTGGTTGACTCATTTTGAATTTGTGATCCACTAGAAGTCCCTACATCCTTTCCTGTAATAGTTCCATGCAGCCCTGTTATGAGCTTATTCACTGGCTTTTTCCTGCCTTGGTGTAGTTCTTTGCACTTGTCTTGATTGCATCTCCTGTTACCTGTCTCCCTCCACTGGCGTGCAATGGGAATAGTGAACAAGAGTTTTCATCTAGTATTCACCTGACAGACCTACAACTAGATACACCCATGGCCAGGGAGGGTGGGAAAGCCATGCCAGACCTCATAGCTCCCATGAAAAATAGTGAAGTCACCTGGCGCTTGCCTGAGAGGGGACATGAACTAGGGCTACAGCCATGTCTTTCTTGCTCAATCTGCCCTAAATGCATTCTTTCCCCCGGCCATGCCTCTCTGCAGTCTGAATTTTTATTATTATCAGCCTTTATTCACAGTAGTATGATGGTGATGCCAGGGCCCCCTTGTACAAGGCTGTGATGTATTCAGAGAGAGCTAGTCTCTTCCTGAAGAGCTGCCTGTCAAGTTACAGGGCCAGGGCTCAACAGGATTATGGATTTGCTTCAAGACAGAGTTGATTAGGGATAGATAGTTGCTTTTATTAATCTCTCTACATCACTCCTATTACAGGCTTAATACTGCCAGATGGTTACACAGCTACTGCAATGTGACACATCAATAAGCACAGGCAGAGCAATGCATATAAGAGTAACAGGCACTTGGAAATGCTTATGCTCATTTAGGCTGTGGGGAGTCCCATTCTGGTCAACTTGCACCCGGCCGCATTGGACGTGGCTCCAGCTAGGGTGATTCAGGATACTCTTCGAGGTCTAGGTCGAGGCCTCATGAAACCATTAACTCAATGTACATGCAACCAGGCCTTCTACAGGTCCTCAGTGCAGGATCTTTAACCCTGTTAAAATAGAGCACTGCCCCCTTGAGTTAAAAGGACAATTCCATTGGTAGGCAGCATTAGTAGGCTGCTATCCTTTAGGAAAACTAGCCACTCGAGGAGGTTGTAACACACAGCTCGCCCACTTAGCTCCTCCAGAACATGCCTCTGACTCTGTCATCTCACTGTAGCCTTGAAATGGGGCTAATAAATGTGTTGCAAACTCTGCCCTGCAATGACCAATTAGAAAAATCAAAACGAATCTCCAGGTCTGCACAGCGATGCTCCAGCATGGTTCCGCCACGTGAAGCTACGTCCTGTAACAGCCGCCTTTAGCCCCATAAATGAAAGGGATCATCTCTTCGGCTTTGTAGTGGGTAGGTAATAAACAGCTGCTAAGATCAAGGCAGAGGTGTTTAATCAACCACAAAAGCTGTTTATTGCAAGTTGACGGCAACATAATGGGGAGAATTTTTCTAATCGATATAATTGTTCACTAGAGCAAGGAACTAAGCCTCCCTTGGCAACTTTGCTATGGCCCCAGAAAGCCCCTTGTTATTTTAGTCCTGACACTCAAACTAGCCATGTGAGTTGGCTCTTATTCTGACTCATTGGAATCCTGTTACTCCAGTCCTGGTTTTCAGAACAGCTCTGTCAATATACCTCTGATAAATCCAGTCCAGCACATTCATAGGCCGTACCATTCCTTCTGGCCAGCATGAGCCAGTGCGTTCCTATCCCGAGTGCTTGGCCCCTTTAAGGCAGCCCTAGGAGGTTGCAGTCTTGGAGGTAGTCATAGGATTACTGCTCAGAAGCTACAACAAAGCATTCTGGGGGAAGAACATAAGAAAATAAGAACAGCCATACTGGGTCAGATCAAAGATCCATCTACCCAGTATCCTGAGGGAGGGAACGCAACAGGTAATCATCACATGATCCCTCTCCTGTCATCCATTTCCAGACAAACAGAGGCTAGGGACACGATTCCTACCCGTCCTGGCTATTAGCCTTTGGTGGACCTAACCTCTATGAATGTATCTAGTTCTTTTTTGAACCTTATTAAAGTCCGAGTCTTCCCAACATCCTCTGGCATGGAGTTCCACAGGCTGATTGTGTGCTGAGTGAAGAACAATTTCCTTTTGTTTGTTTTAAATCTGCTTCCTATTCATTTCATTATTCACTTTTTCCACACCAGTCATGATTTTATAGACCTGTATCATATCCCTCCTTAGTCTCCTCTTTTCTAAGATGAAAAGTCCAAGTCTTTTGAATCTCGCTTCGTATGGGAACCGTTCCAAATCCTTAATAATTTGTTTGCCCTTTTCTGAACCTTTTCCAGTGCCAATATATCTTTTTTGAAATGAGGAGGCCACATCTGTATGCAGTATTCAAGATTTGGGCGTATCATGGGAAGGGAGCCCATCTATAACAAGAACAGCCTTTAGCTCAGAATAGAAAGACTAAGGAAGGTGAGGATGTCAGATTCTCCATGATTTTTTTTTTAAAACAACTAATAGTCCTGCAGCACCTGACAGACTAACCAAAAAGGTAGATGGTGAGCACAACTCACTTCTTCAGATGAAATCATATGTGCCTCATGGAGGCACCCTGGGAAAGAAATCAGCAAAGGAGCTGTTGCCAAACACCAGAGAGGGTGGGAAAAACCTCCCTTTCGCCATGATCTCCAAAAATATGGGGAGACCTGGGCTGGCCCTGTTGGAAGGACTGTTGCATCTTGGTGAGAAGCTGGAAGGACTGTATTAGTTGGCCTCTTCTGCTTTGCCCTGGAAGGGGATGTCTTAGTGTTTGGCTTGGAGGATGAAACTCCAGATCATCTCTCCAATTAGATGGAGCCTGGTGATACACGATGGTAAACTGAGGCCCAGGTATGCAATTGGGGAAGAATGTGCAAAGGTTTGGGGTAAACAGACCTCGGCACAGCCCTCAATACACTCTGCCAAAATTCATCAACCTAGCCCTACGATACTTTCTTCTGCCCCAGCTATAGGCCTCCCACATACCTCTGCTATGAATTTCAGTCCGGATCTCGTCAATTACATTGTGAGCAAGACATGAGAAGTTGTTCTTCCACTCTGTTCTGCTCTGATTAGGCCTCAACTGGAATATCGTGTCCAGTTCTGGGCCCCACATTTCAGGAAAGATGTGGGGAAATCCGAGAAGGTCCAGAGAAGAGCAACAAAAATGATGAAAGGTCTAGAAAACATGACCCATGAGGGAAGACTGAAAGAACTGGGTTTGTTTAGTTTAGAAAAGAGAAGACTGAGAGGGGACATGATAGCAGTTTTCAAATATCTAAAAGGGTGTTATAAGGGGGAGGGGGAAAAAATTGTTCTCCTTGGCCTCCGAGGATAGGACAAGAACCAATGGGTTTAAATTGCGGCAAGAGAGGGTTAGGTTGGACTTTAGGAAAAACTTCCTAACTGTCAGGGTGGTTAAACACTGGAATCATTTGCTTAGGGGGCTTGTGGAATCTCTATCACTAGAGATATTTAAGATCAGGTTAGACAGACACCTGTCAGGGATGATCTAGATGGTGCTTTGTCCTGTCGTGAGGGCAGGGGACTAGACTCAATGACCTCTCGAGGTCCCTTCCAGTTCTAGGATTCTAGGATTCATTCTCTCTTACACATGCACACAGAGACACCTATTAGTGACAGATGGCAGAACGAGGAGCAATGGTCTCAAGTTACAGTGGGAGAAGTCTAGGTTGGATATTAGGACAAACTATTTCCCTAGAGGGGGTGGGGAAACACTGGAATGGGTTCTCTAGGGAGGTGGTGGAATCTCCATCCCTAGAGGTGTTTAAGTCCCGGCTTGACAAAGCCCTGGCTGGGATGATTGAGTCGGGGTTGGTCCTGCTTTCGGCAGGGGGCTGGACTCAATGACCTCCTGAGGTCT